CAGTTATGTATTTCACGTACAAGAATGAGATAGGCATTTCACATGCAAGAATGAGATATGTATTTCCTTTTATTTTTTCCTCAAAGTGCCAAGCCTGGAGCCTGTTTCTAATTGGGAGAGAAGGGTCCAAAAGAAGCTGGGATTAAGCAGAGCATTCTGTCCAAGGAGTAAGACAACGTCACCACATCAGTGCCTCTAAAAAAACACAGACTGCCAGTACACAATGAATCTGGCTGAGAGAAAAGCTGAGGGTACAGGGCTTCCTAGAACTGACTCAACTGGGAAATTATTTTAGAATCCTTCTATAAAAGGATACATACAAATAGTGACATACGGTTCAGTGATATACATCTATTGAGAATCATGTATGGTGGGGAATGAGTGAGTGTCAATATGAATTATTTTTGAAGTCCAACTGGGCCGAAAGTGGGGAACACATTGTCATCCTGCAAAAGAGCAGTTTTTGCCTGAAGGTGTGCATGGAAGTGAAGTTGTGTTTCATCTCGGAAATAGATCAAGTGGCCACCAAAGGATGTTTAAGATTCCAAAGGGAAAGGAGGAAGGTTATCAATGAGCTGTAGCTAAGATCACACGCTCCTTATCTGCAGAGAGAGAGAGTGTGTGTGATAAGCTGTAGCACAAAACAGAATCCATTTGAAAGATAAAATACTGAAGCTCCGGGGCCTGAAATGTAGGGGATTTCATTAAAACAAAAAATCACCTATCTAAAGCTCACAAAACTTTTGTAGGTGATTCCCCATCTTTAGTCCTCAAGAGAATCCACTGACAGTGTTGCTAAAAACGTAAGTGTTCCTGGCCCAAGGTCACCAAAAAACACAGAAAGACTATTTTAATAAGCACCCCAATGTGATGGTCATCTCTTCTCTATAACTCAAACAACTGTCCTTCACTTCTCAAACTGTGATCCATTAGTAACTCTTGGGATTAGTTTAATGACCAAAGGTGGAACTTAGCTTTGGTAGTGCTTGCCTAGCATGCTTGAAGCCCTTAGTCCCATCCCTAGCATCAAATAAAACCAGGAATGGTGACACACACCTGTAATCCTAGCATTTGTAGGCTAGAAGCAGGAGGACCAGCTTTTTAAGGCTACGTAATGAGTTTGAGTCTACCCTGGGCTACGTGACAGCATGTCTTGAAAGAAAAAGAAACATTATGATCAGATGTGACTTCCAAGTCTCATCTGTTTTCTCTAGCTAGGCTTCCCCTTCTATGGTTCTACCACCTCTCAATACCTTATTCAAATTTCGAGTCTTTTCTTATGATGCATATAATTCTCTGTAGTTTATTTTTTATTCTACCTTCCCCAATCCCGTCCATGCTCCCAATTCACTCAGGAGATCTTGTCTTTTTTCCCCCCTTCCTAGAGTGATCCATGAATGTCTCTCTTAGGGTCCTCTTTGTTGTCTAAGTTCTCTGGGGTTGTACACTATAGGCTGGTTATCCTTTGTTTTATGTGTAATATCCAATTTTGAGTGAGTATATATTATATTTGTCTTTCTGAGTCAGGGTTATCTCACTCAGGAAAATTTTGAATCTTGGATGGATTGTGCCATCAATTAAGTCAGAGCCCTTGCTATCTAATTGTTTATGGAAAAGCCCTGAAATCCCAGAGGTGTTAAACCTACCCTGTTCAGGATGATCTCTGTAGCCTCTGGGAAATCCCTCTACTATGACCTTTCAGGGCCTAAAAATCTGCATTTGTTCCAACTAGCTAGCTAGGTCATCTTCACCCTATGGAGGTAGGGGGGTTTCCTAGTTCTGTGGCTCCTTCTCCATGCTGCCAGTATGCTCTGACAAAGGCTTGTGACAAGCAGGCGGGATCACAGGGAAGATAACTCTAGTCTATCAATGTTATGGCTTGACTATATAATGTTCCCCATGACATCACTGTTTGGGTTGAGCTTTACCTGGCACCCCCTCCACTCCAAACCCTGCCCAGTTTCAGAAAGCCCTGGAAATGGCAGCCCCTCCCCCAGAGATGCCTGGGACCATGTCTACAGGCTATTTAAGCCTCAGTCCTCAGACCAAGGTATCCCCAGGTGGTTTCTCTTCATCCCCTGGGGCCACCCAGGAATGCTTCTCTCAGATTAGACCTGGACTTATTAATTCGGCCTGATCTGATCTATTGCATCAGCAGAGAGACCTAATATTGGGGTACAGAAACTTTTCAATCACTATTTGAATGATTGATCCCAGATGCTGGCAATATTTTGGGAGGCTGTGGAACCCTCAGGAAGTGGTGCCTAACTGGAGGAAGTAGGTTGCTGACAGTGGGTTTTCAGGACCATTTTATTACTGCTTCCTGAACTGTTCTCCGATTTCTGATCCATGATATAAAGAGAGTCTCAGTCATGCCACACCTACTGGGATGGACTGCATCCTCTGAAACCATGAACAAAACCTGAATCTTTCTTTCCACAACCAGTCTCCATCTGACACTCCATCACAGCAATGAAAATTGACTAAAGCAATCAACTTGTTAGTATGCTTTCCCAAGACATCAACTGCTCAAAGACACACAAGACACAGGCACAGTCAAGAGTCTTTAGTCTGAGGTCAGTCTCTTGGTTAGTGGCCATTTCCTTCTCACCCACTGGAGTGTGCTAAGCAGCAAACACAACTGATGGCCTAGCATAATAACCGAGTTCACCCAACGGTACCTGAAATGTTCTCATAGGTTGCTCCAAGAACTCCACAGCATCTGCTCACAGGCCTCATCTTAACTAGATACACTAGGAGGCTCTAATCTTAGAGCACCACTTAGATTTTGAGAACCTCATTTTGTTGGGGATATGTTTAGAAGAAAGTAAAGCTACAGGGGAAATGTACTTATAACCAGTCTTTAGGAGAAATGACTGAAACATAGGGGGAAAAGCAACTCAACATTTATCAGGCCACGTTGACCCATTTGCGTTCATGATTTCATGAACCCCCCATCTCCTGATTCACAAACTGGTGCACAGATGTGCCAACTGATCCATTGCCATCTGTTGATATAAATGAGTGATACTGTTTTCCTTTTTAATAAGGTTTGTATTTCAGCAGAGCCCCATTAAAACTCAAAATTATAACAATATCCACGTCCAGTTCACTGTCATGATTTTCCCTACATCCAATGTAGGGATGATAGGGGGACAAGATGTTTATGTTCCTGGGCCATAAGTAACTGTCTTTGAGGAGATAGTTTCACTTCAGAAAAAAAAAAGAGGGACAATTTTCTTATCATACAAATGAGAATAATACGTGTCAACTCAAAATGTCTACTGTGAGGGCTAAAAATATGCAGTACATAGAAGGAACTCAATAGGTACTAGGTGCATGTTGGTATCATTTCTCTCTGAGGCTAAAGAAGCAGAGGTAGACAAGCACGGTTTTCTCAACCTGGGAAGAAACTCAGAGAAGAGGGAAAGGTGGTGTTCACATACACCCAAGGGGACCAGAAGGGTTTGGTTCATTCTTGCCACAGCAGAATTAACAGTGAACATGCAGCCTTTGCAATTTAATGGCCTTGGGATTTCCTATGGTATAATGGTATATATCCATCTGTGAGTTAAGATATGTGAATTACCAAGCAGATGTATTTGGGACAACCAGACAAACAAGTTAAACTGTGCAATGGGGCTCGATCTGGATCTTAATTATAAGATGCCAGAAGCATCTTTGCTTTTCTGAAGCTCTCCTAATGCAAAGGACCCTGGTCATGTGGGAATTATTTTCACGCCTGAGATCCTCTATGCTGTTTGGTATTCCTTTGCATATGCTTATTTCTGTACTTGGAATTCTCTCGACCCTCTACCTCCTCTGCACAGTCAATACCCATGTCCAGGAAGCCTTTCCCACTTCTTTCCCAGTGGGGAAGTGCCACCCTCTGCACTCTGAGGCTGCCCTGGCTTGCTACTGTCACTGTGCTGACCCCACCATCTTCCTGCTGTTTTCTAGATGTTTTCCCAGTAAATTCTGTGCTCCAATAGATGGACAGTACATCCTTTGAGGGAATGTATATACAGTCTACACAGTCTAGATGTCAAGTGAACGGACAACGTGTGGTAAAAATGAAGAACCAGGAGCATTACATAATCTCCCCTCCCCACCATGATACCGTGTGCTACAAAACAAATAGCTGTGTTTTGTAGGGTAGCTAGGGAAATCAAAGTCTTCATAGGGGGATTGGTGGCCTGTTAATTCCTTTTAACCTGACACTTATGTGTTCTTTTGAGTAAAATTAATTGTGTTAGATTATTAATGATAGGGAGTATCTTGGTTCTCTTGAAAAGCAGGGTTGGGGTTGTTACTTTGTAATACATCCTTATATTTTAAAAACAGAATAATGTGCCATTGCAGTTGAGTAAGTCCTAGAGACACCTCCCTACCGCTCACTGCTCATGTTGGCCTGAGACTCACTGGTGTTGTGCTTGCATCACTTAAACTCTTCGGGCAGCTCTGGAGTTTGGCTAAGCATAATAGGGAGTTTTCTCTGTGAACTACAATATTGTAGTCCAACATGGAGCATAACCAGGGTTTCCTCTGTCCCGGCTCAGGACATCTAATGGTTTGTTGAGAGTCTCATGTCTAATGTAGGTACATAACTGAGGAGTAAGCCTGCTTGCAGTGAACTTCAAGCCTCTTTTCTGTGAAGTGACGGACAAAGGATGTTTAAAAACCTACCCGTCTTTCAATGAGCACAGAATAAATTCATCAAAGCTCCACATGACATTGGAATCCTACATTTTTGTAAGATTTTGACCAAGTTTTATAAACACATCGCCTTGAAAAATCAATCTTCCTTGCTTTCCAGGCTGATCTTCCTAGGGGACATGAGATTTAAGGAGTAAGTCTCTAGGGTTTTGTCTTTCATCTCTGCCTCCTCTCTCTGGCTGAGCACACAGGAGAAGTCACAGGTGAGCCTGCATCAAGGCAACAGTGCCATGCTGAATGATTGGTACATTCACGATCAGGGAAGGAGGAGGAAGCCTACTGACCTTGTGAAGTTCCACAGGAGTTGGGGACATGATATCCTTTATTTCTTGTTTCATTTTCCTCAGGGTTACTGACTTCCTGCCCACATCCGAGGGCAGGGTGTTGCTTCGAGTTGTTTGGCTGTAGTGTGGCCGTGAACTGCTCCGTTCCTGGAAGCTGGCCTGTCGCCCCAGCTGAGTGCGAGCCGTTGGAGCCTCATGATTCAAACTCATGGTGCTCCCCGACATGATTGTTGCCTGTGGCATCGACAATTTTCAGAGACAATTAAACCATGGCTAAGGAAAGGGTTTGCTTGCTCAACATTAGGCACAATTCTCCCTCTGCCCAGTCAAAATATGGTGTCTTCAGGGCATAACCAAAGGCTGGAGAATGGAAGCACTAGCTCAACTATGAACGTCTGGAACATGCTTTGCAATTACATTTATAATGCACATCTCAAATCCAATGGAAGCAGTTAAGCCCTTGAGTTTATTTAATCAAATACCACCCCTAGCAACGCTGAGGCAAATTGAAAAGATCCAGCATTAGTTTACTGCAAACTGCATCTTAAACACCAACTTCCCACTCTAAGAGCTGGGATTCACAAAGCCACCTTCAGTGTGTCTTAGAGAAGTGTTTGGAGGGCTTCCCAGTGGAGGCCAGGCTGCTGTTGTCTGTGTTGCTGCCTCTGGCTCCAACAGAAGCAATCTGTACACTGGAATGGGATGATTGATTGACTGATGCAGAGGCAAAGGGGTCTCCTAACACTTCCAACCTGGCACTGTCAAGAGCATCTTTCTCCTGGCCCAGTGACCTACCCCAGAAGCTTGTAGACACATCTTTTAATATTCATCAGCGTTTGGCTTCTACATCTCGTGGCTCAGATAGTGTTTCTTAGAAATGATCTTTGTGTAACATTCTCAGAGAGGCTTAAAAAATTACCCTTTTATATTGGATTCAACCATTTGCTCAATTCAATCATTGCTCAACTGTGAGGCTCGAATTGGATTTTACCAATGAAAGGGAAGTTTGCTCAGCTTCCCTGAATAATACATAAGCAATGGCAAGATTACACCCCTGAATTTCAGAACTGGAACAAAAGAGGATTTGAAAGAAGTATCATGATGGGAATGGACATTTCTCATATTAGAGAATGCCAGTATTCTAAAATTAGGACTGTGGCCATCTCTCTATTCCTTATACAATGTTTATATGCATAAGTGTGCACTGGTAAATGTGCCTGAATCTATAGAAACAGAAATTACATCCATACCCAAGTGAATAAGTAAATGTTTGTTTACATTAATGAAAAACTTATAAGCAACAGTGCTTGATTTGTTGAACTTTTGAATATATTCATTAATATATTAGCCTTGTAAGTCTATAAGGTAGGCACATCATTCATTCCACTTTATAGGAGACTGAAGCACAAAGAATCTTACTTGCCCAAGGTCATATAAGCAGTAACTGAAGCAAGAGCACTACCTGCAGCTATTCACTAGAGGGAACACTAGAAAGTGAGCTGCATTTTTATTTGCTATGTACTATAAGAGTTTGTATCTCTCCATTGATGTTCAGTTTACATGTGTGCCACTAAGAAAGCGCAACAGCCAAGTATTGGCACAAATCTACAAAGACCTAACAGCTCTATGAAAAAGAAACCAAACTGACAATTACATTCGGACTAGACCACTTAAGTCACCGATGCTTTTGAGAATGGAAATGCTAGCTGCAGATAAATCCTTGCCAATTACTGAGCACTGCATATATTACTGCTTAATATTCAATAACAGCATCAGTAGGCTTTATAAGTCACAGGTCTTACTCTTTCACAATGGAAGAGAGGGGCACCTAGGTAAGTCCCATAACTTGTCACAAGGGGATCCCAACAGTCTGGTTGCAGCCTTGTTCCTTGACCAACTGGCTTCTCTGGACACATAAAACTTCCCTTTTGTAGGTAAAAAGTCTTTAATATTTAAGCAAATGTAGGCATCTATAGTATTACATATTTCTGATAAATACCTTTTTTTTTGTTGTTTTTTGAGGCTTATTGACACATCCTGTGGCCAGCTGGGTTGGTGTCAGGGGACATCTCTTCATTTGATGGCACTTATATACATTGCTGCTGTGTTTAATCTGTAGTAACTGACAGCATCCAGTCATTTTTTTTTCCTGCAGTGGTGACTGCCCATCCATTGTCCTTACCTATTTAGAATATTTATCTACTTTATTTATATCTATGTTTCCTTCTCATGTGGGAAATAAAATATTTACTGAGCCCAAGGGCTGACAGTCTGGCTTTGATGAGTCTGAGTTGCCAGAAGAGACACTGCCAATGGGTTTTACTAAGGTCCTGTGATCAAGAGGCGAGGTAAGAACAGCCCCTCACTCAAGTTTTCAAACCATGACTGGATTGCCCACTTACACTAAACTTCAAGGGAATTAATAGCATCTAAAAAGGATTTTAAAAGCTAAAGTACAAATATAATTTAGGTCCAGACATGTGGTTAAACTCTTGTCTATTAAAAAAGTTAAGGTAGTATTCATTAAGACAGCAAACTCAGTACTCATTTTTTATTGCATTTATTAAACATCAGGTTCTCTAGTAATCATTGTGTTAAGTATTAGATTACTGTAATTCTTATTTTTGAAAGCATCTTACTTTGATTTTTCCAAACAGGGTTTCTGTGTAGTCCTGGCTATTCTGTAGCCCAGAACTCACTTTTTAGACCAGGGTGGTTTTGAACTCAGAGAAATCTGCCTGCCTCTGCCTTCTGAGTATAGGGATGAAAGGTGTGCATCATCACCACCTGGCAATTCCTATGTTTTATACAAGCAAAATTTGTAAGGCAGGTTAAAAATTGCTCAAAGTCTGAGTTTGAGTTTTTGGCATCAGGGAAGACTGTATATTTTTCAATGCTAAATTTGAACCTAAATTATTGCTGTCAATAATGAAAATGATTAGTAAATTCTCATTTTAATCACAATCATTTAGTTAATCTATATTTATAAACTCCATAGTTTTCTTTAACTTTATTGAAGGTAAATTTCATCCATAGGACTCCAGCTTCAATAAAAATGTAACAGCCTTCCCCTTCAAGGAAACAATTCATCTAAAAACATTGTTTATAGTTTTTGTGATAATAGTGTAAATATGATTCTAGTCTATGAACCTGGTGCGCATTCCTCCTAGCTGAAAATATAACTTCTCTTTGGCTTAAAGCTCAGCCTCTTTTTTCTCTGTATTTGTAATTTCCAGGGCCACATCACATGAAGCTGCAATGGAGGTACGGGTAGGCTACTGCAACATAGCTAACTCAATTTCCAGGTAATGGCCAAGGCCCATCCAGTTACTTTTAAAAGGGCCTTCAATGGATACAATGTAAGAGAAGCTATAAGAAGAATGAGTGTCACAAGAGAAAAGTATCAAAATGGGAAAGGTGTGGGAGCCAAAGTAACTTAGGTGAGGACATTTGCTCAATAATTGTGAATTGTGTTCATTATTCAGCCTGTGTTGCTTCTCATACTACATACAGGGGGTGGTAAAAGTTTAAATAAACCAGCTGGCACTTATGAATTGTGCTCTTTTTGAAAATTGTATAAAAAGAAGGAATCAATGTTTCATGTCTTATTTTAAAATTTATAAGTCTATCCATGCCCAGGTCCTTTAACTGTGCTCTGAAGCCAAAATTCATGCCACATAATACTATGGTGTCTGTAAACTCAAACTACTGTTTTCCTTTAGAATTTCTCTTTGCAGATTCACAAACATTAGAATCACATAAAGTATCCACACATGCAGTTGAGAAGCAAAATAATATAAAGATGAGTAACCATTTTAGAATTGCAGGAGTCCCACCCGGTTGTGCCATTCGCATTCCTTATAGTGACTCGGGGACCTCGTATGACATCAAAACAAAAATGAGACTTTCACCACTTTACTTTTTACGGCTTAAAAACTTCAAAAGAACATAAAAGGAAACATTACAGGCCTTCCCAGACTAAGTCTGGATACTGCCAGCAGATTCATGGCTTTGTTGAAGAAATTGCCCAGAGTTTGACTGTTACAATCTAGCTTGTCCCTCCTCAGATTCAGGTAAAGTTAATATGGAATTAAGATTTCCAATGAACAGCAAAACAGTAAGTAATATTTTGCCTGCTTATCAAATAGACTGGCCTTTTAAAGCAGCCACATGATCATCAGCTTAAGGGCAAAACAAAATATAATGTGTTTCCTCTTATGTTCCTCTTGACGATCAAATTAATTTCTCTACCAGGTACAAATGAAAACATGCCAAAGAAACCTTTCTAAAGCAGCTAAGAGAATGAAATGCACCACTGTTGGGAGACTGGGCTGGCTCCTTAGCGATTTGGTGGGAAACAGGTACAGTCAGGATTAGCAAGGGAGCGATGGCAAAAGCCACAAGTCAGTAAGAACTGCATTGTATAAAATCAAACTGCTGTCTGGAAGGCAAGGGCGGGGGAAGGCAGCTTCACAAGCAAAAGTATAAACAGAAAGGGTAGCTACCAAGAGAGTCATGTTTCTCAATGACACACGCCTGTCAGCTTTCTCCTGTGGAAAGGGGTTAAAGCTTTTAAATGAACTGCTGTGATCAATGCAAACATAAAAGGACCAAAAAACAAAAACAAAAAAATGAATGTAGAAGCAAGGTAAGCAGTGGGACGGAGGCTACCTCAAGCTCTCTCAGGATCCCCGACTGGCCGCAGGTCTCCAGGTCCTCCAGTGCTTGAGACCAGAAGTTTTCCTCTTGTTCAGCCTCCGCACTGTCAGAGGCCCCTGCGAAGCTGCCCGAAAGAAACACATTCTGGGTTAAGGAAGATGTGCACACGAACACACACACACACACACACACACACACACACACACACACACACACACAGTACACATGCACACAAAGTTGTACACACACACATACACTTCTGTATGTAGAATCTTTCTCCTCATTTTATACACAAAAAAAAAGAGGGAAAAAGAAGATCCACTTTTACCAGGCTTTCTTTAGACTGTGGCCTCCAAGTCAAGTCATCTCTGACATGTTAGAAATGCTAAGTGGCATGCAGAATTAAATGGCCTTTGCCACTACTAGTTGGCTTTCAGAATATTCATGGCTGCATAGATGTGGCTGTACTGTGGCAGATGGCACCTAGGAATTTATAAAAATTATTGTACCTGAGTCTGATACCCCGAACCTATGTGGAAAAGCAGGATATGGGGATATACTAACAATCCCATCACTGGGAATGTTGAGACAGGTGGATCCCTGGGGCCTGCTGGCCAGCCAATCTAGCATAATTAGTGAGCTCTGAATAGATGGGTTCCTGTGGTTGCACAGCCATTCACCCACCCACCCACACACACACACACCCACACACACACCCCCCACACACACCCACACACACACACGCACCCCTCTGTGGTTCTCTTGTCTTGGACTGGTGGCAGACACCTGCAATCCTGACATGTAGGAGTCTGTGGCAAGGAGGAGTTTCAGGTAAGCCTGGTACTCTATAGGGGACTTGGCCTCAAAGCAAAGGAACTCTTGATGAATGTTACATGTGACTTAGTGTGGAGGAGGGATAGAGATGCTTGCAATAGAAAGGACATGGCTCCGAGAAGCTGACTTCTTCCCCCAGTGCTACTCTGGGAAACTGCACTGCTGCCTAGTGCTACCAAGCTATCACTGGGCAGTCACACATTTTAGAAACCTTCTTTGTGGCGGATGTGGATAGCTAAAACAGTCCACAAGGTCAATGCTAACAAAAGCTGCCACTGGGTATAGAGAGGTGCAAGTCCTCTCTCTGAGACCAAGACCTGGTACAGGGCAGCAGCAGTGGTGTGTGTGTGTGTGTGTGTGTGTGTGTGTGTGTGTGTGTGTGTGTGTGTGTGTGAGCGTGTTTGTGGGAGTATGTGTATGTGTGTGAGAATGTGTGCAAGTGTGTGTGCATGAGTGTTTGTGTGTGTGTGTGTGAGAGAGAGATAGAGAGATAGAGATAGATAGATAGATAGAGATAGAGAGAGAGAGAGAGAGAGAGAGAGAGAGAGAGAGAGAGAGAGTGTGTGTGTGTTTGTGTGAAGAACCTTACCCGCTGGCTGTGGACCGATCCCAGTCTTCATTACTTAATCCCACATCTGGATAAGTCTGGCTTCGAGGCTTGGGGACTGGGGATAGGCTGCCTCTTTGTTTTGGACTCCTCCAATCATAGGTGTTGAAATTGTATCCCGGAGTCTGAAAAGTGGTGCCTGAAATAGAAGCAAGGCGTTAGAGCTGGGTGTGGGGATTATCTCATCTATTGAGATATAATGGTGTTGGCCAGAGAGGGTTGGGTAGCAAAGTAGCAGCAGAATTGACAGCAGGTATTTATCCTGCCTCCCTGCTCTGAGGCCTTCTTCACAGCAAGCTTTGGTACTATAATTATTTGCAATTAAAAGAGGAAGTTAAAGGCTTTGAATGGTGGTTTCTAGTGCCTAAGCCTTCCAGAGGCTTCAAGTCACACACAGTTTCAGGAGAACCAGTTTTCAGGTCCTTCAATGCTACAAGCACTTCACCATCTTCCCCATACTGCCATGGCTGACACAGGTCAGGGATTTGGACCGACAAGTTCTCCCCTCTGCTTTCACAACTGTTCCACTATGGTTCAACAATACTCATTTCTTAGTCATTTTAAACCCTTGAGGGTGCTTGGCCTGGAGTCTCAGGAGTGTAAGTATAACCAGCAAATGCAGGACTAGGTTGGAGAAGCCTTGCTCATGAGACAATGGCACCCAGAGCTGGGTCATAGTTAAACCAGGCAAACTCAGGGCAAGGCATTTATTTATCCCTCTGTATTGCCCTGCCATCTGTCTCTCTTTGAAAGTCAGAAGCAAGGATGATGTCAAGGTGAGGTAGCTTCAGCATTAGTGTTTATCCGAATTGCAAAACAAAGACTGAGTTTTCTGATGGAGGTAGGGAGGGCAGTTAAGTCTGACTAGCCTGGTGGGCAAGACAGTAGGGGATTAGAGAACAATTAGGTTATGTAATATGCATCACCCTTGAATTTCAGCTAAGTCTGTAACACCGATATTCTGACAGTAATAGAGTTTAAGGTTATTTATAACAAGGAAGAATATTTGTAAATATTTGAGGAAAGCATTTAGAAGGTAACTTCAAATATGTGATGAAGTATGAAGTTTTTCAGTATACTTTTTTGGGGTTCAAGGGCATATGCACGGGGCTGACTCCATAGCCTATATCATAATCATCACACATTTCTTAGTCCATTTCCTCAGGTTGTGTAAACACACATATGGCTTAGTAGCAGATGCCTGTCTTACTGTACATAAGAAATTCAACATAACAAACACCTGAACCCCTATTTTCACTATTTGGGGCCTAGAACCTGGGTCATAAAGGGGGTCAAAGCATGTTCAAAGGAAAGCGTGAAGTTAGCATGCAAGTATTTATTAAGTCTAAGGTCTGGGAAGACAGTGAGAGAGTAATAGTGAAAATGCAATCTTAATAAGGGCTGCTCTCTACCCCAAAATCCATCAGTGTGTTCTCTCCACCTCCAAGAAGATAGTCCTGTCTCAAAACAAAAGCAAAAACAAAAACAAAAACAAAAAAAACAAGCTATTTCTCCAGAGGTGGGCTCTACCCTGGGATCAAACTGAAATTGTTGCAGCGGCCCATGTGTTCAAAAAATAAACCGCAAAAAATATAATTAAATTTTGTTCTTATTCAATGGCAATGCAAGTACATGAAAATAAAATGCACTTATGATATTTGAAACTACATTTGCATGAGTGTATGTGTTTGTGCATTGGGTGAGTGTGTGTGTGTGTGAATGCACATGTATGTGCACATCTGTGCATGCCAGAAATTTATGTTTGGTATCTTCCTCAAATTCCTCAAATGCTCTCCACCTAGTGTTTTTTCTTTTCTTTTCTTTTTTCTTTTTCTTTTTGGCAGGATCTCTCACCAGCCTAGAGCTTGTTGTCTGGTACCTGGCTAGATAGAAGACCTAGGAATCCTCCCTTCTCTTCCTCTCCAGTGTGGGGACACCCTTGACTGTTTTGTTTTAATGTGGGTGGAGAGCCAGACTCAGCCCTGAATGCTTGTGTGGAAGACACTTTAGCAACCAAGGCATCGTCCTAGCTTCCATAAATTGCACTTTAAGTGAAACTTTGATCACAGAAATTGTAAAAATCTATGTTGTAAGTAATCACTGCCTTGATTCAAAATTGGAAACCTATATCCCTCTCTTCTTTATTTCTTCTGCATCGTGGTTTTAATATCAAGGTTTATATTTTGCCTCATAATGAGGGTTTAAAATTCAGTCTTGGCGATTTCTGCTGAGCAAAATGTTCCATTTTATTTATTTGCAGAATGGAAGATAAAGCTTCACAAATGTAGGTGCTTCTAAATCGCCTTGGCATGGTGATTTTCATTCTTAGGGATAATAAATTTGAGATATCTGTAAAGTCCCTACACCCTAACACAGTCACATTTGCTTTTCTGTATGTATTTTCCACCCATCCCTTTAATTCCTACCCAGTCTTCATGTGGGAATGGAAGTTAAACAATGCTGGCTCCTACATAGAAAGTTTTAAAATGCTTTGGGGGAATTAACTCCTTGAACCTATAATTTGGGGGCTGTAAATCTTGTTGTTCCACATAGTTTTGGAAACCAATTTTAGCATAAGAATCAAGCCAGACAATCTTGGCCAGGTTTCTTTTTCAAAGACTCAGTTTTGTTAAGAACAAGAAAATCAAATCATATGCTTGAGCAGCTATTTGTAATTGTTCTTGCCAATAAATGTTTCATGTGTCTGGATGAACACTGCTTGAAAAATGGCAGAGGAAGGAAAGGAAAGTTCTTCTGGCTTTCAGATGTCACCCCAGAAAGTGAGGACAAACAGCAGAGTCCCACCCCACCTTCACTGCAACAGTATTAGGTACATAACCCGAAGCCTAAATATACCAGAGAAACTGGTAAATTCAGTGAGAGTCACATGAGAAGCGGGTGGCGGTGGCATGTGTGGTGATGTGTGTGTGTGTGTGTGTGTGTGTGTGTGTGTGTGTGTGTGTGTGTGTGTGTGTTGATGTTTGTGTGTGTGTATGTGTGTTGGTGTGTGTGTGTGTGTGTGTGTATGTGGGGTGGTAGTGG